ATTACTTACGGTGTATTTGCAGAAACGTTTTCTAAACAAAAATATGCAGAAGTTATCGCGTTTCGAAGTCACGCGTGTCAGATCACGAATCCTTGCTAATCTTCGCACTACGCCACTTCGCCGAGGACTGGGGACTGTAACGCCGTTCCGACAAGGAAATAATATGGCATCGAACGAAAATTTGATGTTGTGTATAAAGAGAATGGTGGAATTTTGAAGTTGTCACCCTGTTGCACCAACAGCGACCAGGTTGACAATCTGATATTGGGATTAATTTTTCCTTCGTTGACGTAAATAGGAGCACCATCGGACTGTCAACTTCGACGTTGTTTATTGAAAATGCAGCGACTTTAAGCATCCACCATGCTTTTCAAAAGCATATCAACAAACTATAATCGAACGCATCGTTCGACGCCATCTTCCTTTACATGCCGCCGCCATGTTTCGGAACATGCTGCCGCCATGTTCCGAAACCACGAATAGTGCAAACCTTGAACTACATATAATAGCAACGATGAAGTGGAATTTTTTTCCCTTCACTTCAAGATAAATAAACAGACTCTTTTTTTTTTTTAAAGGTTCCAGCTTCCCAACCACGCCGGGTCTTTTCTGTCCGCATCGTGCAGGAATTCCTCAGCTTTCATCCTTACTCTACTCGTAGACGACTCGCGGAGAGTGTTATGTCTAAAACACTGTAACTGGGCGTCACGGTGAGGCAAAAAAAGCCAGTCATCGTGGCTCATATTTGCCACTCAGAAAAAGGGTAGAATGAACCGCTTTCCCGCGACGTCCGCTAACGATAGATCAAACGCTCATTGTGCCGTTTTCCTGCTGATTAATTTTTCTTTCTTTGATTTAAATAACCGCAGTATCGCTTTTATGACAGCAATTGCTCTAGGTCTTGCGAGCGCTGCTTGGTGCTCCCGAACATTCAATTAAAAAGAAACATCTCGCTGTATACCTGGGTGACTAATTCAATACACGTTTTCTGAAACTGAACCTCACAGGCATGCCGGTTTGGTGGCTCTAATAGACCAATATTTATTTGAGTTTAGAAACCTCAGCTAAAGTGAAACAAGTAATGGATTACTAGTAACTAATCACTCAATAAAGTTTGAACTACAGAATCGTTACAACTGAAGAAATGTAATGCAGGCGTTAAAAAAAAAAGTATATAAAACGTGATTGACTACATGTAACTTGTAACGCGTTAGGAACAAGTCTGCCCGCAATCCGCACTGCGCGATCTACGAAAAGGCCTTAATAGAGCCTTCTCGTAGATCCTAAACTGCGGAATGGGGGCCTAGCAAACGTGTGCTCAATCTGCACCCGATGTTATGGCACGAGCTCCAACTGGTTCCTGCTAGCATCGCATAGCTTTTGTGAATGGCCTAAAGATTCCTAATGGTGATTCTGTTCGCTCTTATCAGTCGCGAAACCTCTCGTGCTTCAAAATAATTGTAGACGCAAACTGTGGTGCTTGACGTCGAAATTGATCATTTCAGGCAGAATCGGATTATGTAAATCAGACATAACAAGTCGGCGTTTTCTACCAGTTACAATACCCAACATCACCTTATATCTCCTGTTTCCACTGAGACAATTGAGCATGAATACCCATTAAGTTTATAAGTCTTTGGAGGCTTCTTATTATTTTATATCGCAATTATTATGAAGACAGCGTGCATAGACCTTCATCTGGTCTACGGTTCGTTGTCATTTGGAAAGAGAAGACGGTCTACGGTGTTTTGTCATTTTAACTTGGATGGATGTACGCGGATGTACGTGGCGGCGCTGCGGTCGTATACTGGCTCGAGGATTCGAACGGTTCCGAGCCGTTCCAAAGGCCTCCGCGAGCAGGTTTGGCTTGCGGTTTGGACGTTTGGAGGTATGGCAGCGCAAAGTGGCTCCCGTTCTGAACTGATCTCTACCCCGTGTTTGCTGTCGTTTGTGGCCAATAAAGCGTCATGCCGAATTGCTGTTTAATCGCGCAGCAAATGCAATGCGAGCCGCCCTGGCTGCCCGCTTCATACAGCCTATCCAGAACATGCTTTAGCGGCGCCCTCTCGAGCCGTCGACACGGAGTGCGGCAGCCGTGACCGCTCGCTGAGCTCACTACCCCTCCTCTAGTTCACGGCCACTCAAGCAACCAAGGACTTAACGAAGGAGGTTATAATTTTCGATATAACGACACAGGTCAAGGTGATATGGGCAATATAGTCCCTTAGGGGCTATATTGCATTTTTTATAATTTTGACGTCAGAGGTAACATCAAAACACCACGTCACGGCGGCGTGACGTTACGACAACGCCACGGCATCATCGCCGACTAGAACGTTACGCGACGCCAAGATGCTTCGTCGTGACATCGCGTCGACGACGACGCCGTTTCGCGACATCAAGTCGCCGTTGTAACGCGGTCGTGACATCGCGTTGCGTCGACGACGACGCCGTTTCGCGACATCAAGTCGCCGTTGTAACGCGGTCGTGACATCGCGTCGCGTCGACGACGACGCCGTTTCGCGACATCAAGTCGCCGTTGTAACGCGGTCGTGACATCGCGTTGCGTCGACGACGACGCCGTTTCGCGACATCAAGTCGCCGTTGTAACGCGGTCGTGACATCGCGTCGCGTCGACGACGACGCCGTTTCGCGACATCAAGTCGCCGTTGTAACGCGATCGTGACATCGCGTCGCGTCGACGACGACGCCGTTTCGCGACATCAAGTCGCCGTTGTAACGCGGTCGTGACATCGCGTCGCGTCGACGACGACGCCGTTTCGCGACATCAAGTCGCCGTTGTAACGCGGTCGTGACATCGCGTCGCGTCGACGACGACGCCGTTTCGCGACATCAAGTCGCCGTTGTAACGCGGTCGTGACATCGCGTCGCGTCGACGACGACGCCGTTTCGCGACATCAAGTCGCCGTTGTAACGCGGTCGTGACATCGCGTTGCGTCGACGACGACGCCGTTTCGCGACATCAAGTCGCCGTTGTAACGCGGTCGTGACATCGCGTCGCGTCGACGACGACGCCGTTTCGCGACATCAAGTCGCCGTTGTAACGCGGTCGTGACATCGCGTCGCGTCGACGACGACGCCGTTTCGCGACATCAAGTCGCCGTTGTAACGCGGTCGTGACATCGCGTCGCGTCGACGACGACGCCGTTTCGCGACATCAAGTCGCCGTTGTAACGCGATCGTGACATCGCGTCGCGTCGACGACGACGCCGTTTCGCGACATCAAGTCGCCGTTGTAACGCGGTCGTGACATCGCGTCGCGTCGACGACGACGCCGTTTCGCGACATCAAGTCGTCGTTGTAACGCGGTCGTGACATCGCGTCGCGTCGACGACGACGCCGTTTCGCGACATCAAGTCGCCGTTGTAACGCGGTCGTGACATCGCGTCGCGTCGACGACGACGCCGTTTCGCGACATCAAGTCGCCGTTGTAACGCGGTCGTGACATCGCGTCGCGTCGACGACGACGCCGTTTCGCGACATCAAGCCGCCGTTGTAACGCGGTCGTGACATCGCGTCGCGTCGACGACGACGCCGTTTCGCGACATCAAGTCGCCGTTGTAACGCGGTCGTGACATCGCGTCGCGTCGACGACGACGCCGTTTCGCGACATCAAGCCGCCGTTGTAACGTGGTCGTGACATCGCGTCGCGTCGAGGACGACGCCGTTACGCGACATCCACTCGCCATTGAAACGCGGTCCGTCGCGCTTCGTCGAGGGCGACGTGGACGTGGTCGAGTCGTCTCTATAATCACTCATTGCACACATCTCTGCAACGTATATTTCGTGATTGATGGCCGTGTCTCCTAGTTTATCTGGATTTCTTTTTTTCTTTCATTCTTTATTTTATTGCATCTGTCACTATACGTTTTTAGTGTTGAACCGCTGTAGGAAATCGAAAACAGAGCCCCCTTTTTTTGATTGATGATGCAATTAAATGCAAAGGTACAAGCGAGCAGGAAAATAATGAAGAAAATAGTCCCTGGAGAAGGGGAACAAAGTACAAACACAAATCCCCAAATACAACTAAGTGACTGGTGCGCGACCGAAAAAACAAAAAAACAAAAACGAAAATTCTGAGGAAATCTAAGCACTTTTTATGAGTTGTGAATGCGAAAGTATGAATGTCGTTCTTTTGCTCCCTTAGTTCGTCAGCGGTGTACGGGCGTGGATGCTGGACGGCCACGTTTTGCTACTGCGCAGGTTGAGGCCGCCGACACTATATAGATGCTTCAAGCGCCGTCATGCTCCTCGGCGCGATTCAAATCCGCCTGGCCACGGTATCGAACCAGCGACCTCTACATTTCCAGTAAAGCGCTCTACCAACTGAGCTAACCAGGATTTCGACGTCAGTAGAGTAGCAGTCACCTAGCTGTGTTTGGAGATTTGCGTTTGAACTTTGTCCCACTTGTTCCCCTTCTCCAGAGATTGTTTCCCCTTTTTTTTTGTTTGTTTTTGGTTTGGTCTTGTTTTATCGTGAAGTACTAAGCACTTTTAGCATAACCTTCCCGCAGGCTACCGTGCGGAGCGGCATTGTTACCGGAAGCTCGCGCTGCCGCTTCAAAGCGTATACACTGGCGCGCGTGCCAGGAGCCGTACCATACCCACCTGCTGTAAAGCTCTGTTAAAACTCCACATTAATGGTTCAGTACAGGTCATGCTATGTTCATACTACGGATGCAACCCGCCGGTTTTTCATAACACACGCAAATTTTAGTGCAACAAGCGAAAGAAGTTCGTTCAGACAACAATTGCTTGTAGTCCGAATGATATCGTTCCGCTTCTTGCGCCTACGTTTGCGTGCGTTTTGAAAGATCGCGAATTGCGTTTGCAGAATAAAAATAGCATTACGCTAAAAAAACAAAAAAAAAAAAACCTACAAAAACTTTAGTTGGTTTTCGAGTGTCTGTTCATTGTAGTTAGATATCTCATAAATCCCACACCGGATGCAGCTGAACAGCGCCGCACAGCTGTGAATTATGCCTCGTGGAAAGAGCTCCCTTTGCGAGTCAACACAGAGACAAGCCAGCACTGCTAACGACGAAGCCCTCTTGGACATATTTTTCTTCGACCCCAAAAGGTAAGCTGCGTTTCGGTTTTTCGGTGGTTGTGTTTTGCCGCGGATCAGCACAAACGTGATGTTACGCCAACATGCAATTGACAAAAAAAAAAAAAAAACGCGTTTTTTTAGCGGAAGGTCTAGGTCCGCTTGTTCAGAGCAGGAAAGCCATCGGAAGGTCCGCTTATTACTGTACTTACTGACAGCTTGTTCCTGTGGTTATTGTAGTTCGTGACATCTTTTGTGCCTGTATTCTTTGTGGTTCGACTGTTCCTGTGCGGCATGTTTACGCTTCTTGCTTCGCGATTCGTTCTTTGGAGTTTTTACATGGCAATACTAGAATATCATAGGGCGCGAAGCTATAATAAGATGTTCGGGTCTGTCCACGTTTTCTTCAGTTGTCATTGACTAAAATTGGTCCGATATCAGAGATTGTGACTGGCTCCAAGGGATGATTAAGGCACTTTGAAAATTTTGTTTTTTATAGGGGCGTGGCAGCGGTTTTTGACCTTTCACTGAATACTCTACAAAAATTAACCCTCGACCTTAAAATGGTGCCGATTATAATGCCGCCAATGCTCACCCTGACCACGAGCCCGTGTTGACAAGCCACAGGGTGCGTGCTGAGCTCCGAGCATCGAGGGGGAAAGGGGGGGGGGGGGGGGCGCTGCTCCCGTTACCGCGACCATTTGATTCAAGCCCAAACACTCGTCGAGGCATTCTTGTATTTATTGATCCTGTTATCCTGTTTTCGGGCTGTCCCGGGGGTGTAAAGCCGAGGTCACACTGCTCATACCCCCATAATACAAAAGATAGTCTGCAAACAGAAGTCACCGCAATATCCGTGGTTCGAACGCCGCGTGCCAAGTTTCCTCCTTGAACTCATTGCCTTGCGGCATTCGAAGCACGGATCTCGCGGTGACTCGCGTTCGAATCTGTATGCAGACTGTCTTTTGTATGATGTATAAGCAGTGTGATCCTGGCTTAAGGGCACACATTGATAAAAGACGAGATCCAACCGTCCGTCCTCCCCTTAGATCCAACGCGTCTAGTAATAAGCAAACAAAAAAACAAAAAACAAACAAAAACAGTGCAGTAAATGTACGCTGGAATACGAAATGAAAGCAAACAATTGCGGTAACGGTACACATGAACACAAACAACTTCACAGCGCATAAACGCTGTGAAGTCTTAAGATGGAAAACCAACTAGCCCAAGTTGCTGTATGAACACAAAGCAAAAGCAAGACACTTTCTAACACACCGTGTAATAAAAAAACAAAAACAAACAAACAAAACAAAACAAGAAATAAATAAAAAGAAAACAACAGCGACATGAGTAACACAGGACCAGGTTCACTGAACTTGTTCAAATAGCATATACTTTTATTTTGACAAGTTTGGTGAAGGTAATAAGTGCCACTCTTGGAGTTCCTTAAACTGTCGGTGGCTACATTGCTAATTGCATCGCGATGCATTCGCAACACCAATCACTTTTTATGTCAATTTCGCCAGTGAAAAAGAAGATTGGTGTCAGGCTCCAATGACGTGCACTCTCGGTGACAAATGTCTGAACCCCTTTGCTACCACAGACACTGCAGTGTACGACCATTGATTGGCTAGACTGATTCAAGAAAAGCACCGATCCAGGATTCCGTTTCGCGAGGCAGAAGACAGGTGGGAGCGTCTAAGATTGTATAGCCAGCGACTGCTTAAAGGAGCTGTGCAACGATATTAAATTGGAATGTTTTTCTCTCTAGACGAGCTTACCGGCACACCTGGGACTCAAGGATACTCACACGCAACGCCATTGGCCAAGAAACTCCTTTGTTGCGGTGTAATTTCAAGGACAAAAGCGATCATTTTCATTCAATCTCTCCTTTGCAAAATTTGATGACGTAACTCGGGGATCGCAGTACACCCAAGTGACGATATCTGAATGCGGTTCATAGATTGGACCCGAGCATTACGTGGGCACTCGACTTGGGCTCGTGACAATTGCTAGCTCGAGGAGCATTCGGGTTGTGACCCGTGTCCAATCGCTGCAACGACGACAACAGCCGAGCCATAACAATGTCTGGAACTCAGCGCGTGTCCTGCGCTTTGCCAACCCCAGCGCGTGGCTATGATCCACACTGGCGGCATATAATCGGCTCCAGATCACGTGGCCGCCTGTTCTGGCTGCGAGTTGAGGGGGTGAACGCTGCTCGTTTTTCTTAAATTTTTTTCTGGGACTTCTATTGCGTGGGGTGAAAAACGAACGCGTGTTTCATAGGTCATTAACGTTAGGGATCCGTTTTAAGCGGTATTTGTGCACAGTACAAAAATTGTTGCACAGCTCCTTTAAGACACGCAGGGTGCGCCCATTATGATCACGCTCCTTGCTTCGTGGTCCCTTCTTTTAGGATATCAACTGATGCCGCAACTTAGTTGGTCATGTGCAGCGAAAATAAAATGTACAGGATTCGCCACGCCATGCTTTCATTAGGCTGCCACTAATTAATGTCGCAACCTATATGTTGTCTGCGCAGGACACGCCATGGCAGAAGAGGTTTACAGGGACATTGAAGGTGTCCTCCTTTGCAGACCTCTAGGCGACGCACACCATGTTCGTTCGGCCCTGGCCTACGAGCCGACAGCTGAAGACGTCTTCCTCGTCAGCTACCCAAAATGCGGATCAACGTGGCTGATGAACATCCTCTACAACATCCTCAACGATCGCCCGCCTCCGACCAACTTTGCGGACTGGTCTAGGGAGCTGCCCTTGCTGGAGTTCCAGGGCGCAGAGTCTGTAAGAGAAATGCCCAGGCCCGGAGTCATCAGATCCCACCTGCCTTTCTACATCAAACCGGTCTCAGAGGACGCGAGGTACATCTACATCTGCAGGAACCCGTTCGACTGCTGCGTGTCCTTTTTCTACCACTGCAAGAGCTTTCCGAGGTACAAGTTTCAAGACGGAACTTTCGACGAGTTTTTCGAAATGTTCATGACCGGAAAGTTAGATTTTGGTGACTACTTTGATCACCTGCAGTCCGGCTACGAGCACCGAAATAACAAAAACGTGCTCTTTGTGACTTACGAAAATCTTCGGAAGGACGTTGCCGCGGGAGTGCTGATGATAGCCGATTTTCTGGGCGAAGAGCACGGTAGAAACCTGCGGGAGGATAAAGGACGCCTTGACAGGGTACTGCTCGCGACGAGTGTGAAAACGATGCAAGAACGCATGAATGGACTGTTCAAGGCGTTTCAGAGGGACGAAAAAAAATATATGGGTGAGACAACTGTACAAATCAGCGAGGACCTGCTTGGGAAACAGCCAGAAGCCAGTGGCTTTGTGAGGAAAGGAGCGGTTGGAGACTGGAGGAACCACTTCTCCGCTGACCAGGCGGAACGTCTCAAGAAGAAATTTGCATCTAAGACTGCTGGTAGCGGCACGGCAAACTTGTGGAAAAACGTTGACATTCCCCTATAGGCCCGTGTGTCTAACTAGGCCGCGGAGCACGATTACATTAGAATGACGAATTAGTCAAGACCATATGTAATCGCACTCCAAAGATCCGGAAATCCCCACAGGGTAGATTGCATCATGATGCATTGGGAGCAATAACCATTGGTTTATTTTTGTCAGTTCACACCCAACGGTAACAAAGATCTGTATTATTGTGCGCGTGAAGTGGCAACCTGAGTAAAGAAATGTTAAACACTGAGGCCACCGGCTTATTTTTTCTCTTTAACGTGAAAGCGAGGCAATATACAGGTAGCGGTGTTTGTGAACGTCATGCGCTTTGTTTTTTTCTTTGTACCTCAGTCTTTGCTTCATTTTTTTCCTGTAGAAATCGACCGCGGTCTCAAAAATCGACAAATGGAAGACCAAGTGATACCTCCTTCCCGTGTCATGAGAAGTTTGCTGGCTTTATGTACATCTCTAGAGATATTCAATATTCCGTCTTCAATTTTGTTTGACCCTCAATATGTGCCACGCGGTTCGTTGAATTTATCATAAAGTGACTTGATTTTCAAAACTGCTAGCCACAGGGGCCTGTTACTTCCTTTTTTTTTTGCGATTCTGGTACACTCAGGGAAAATATAAGATCTTAAATTGCTTGGTCTGTAAACTATTTAGTAACGTTCACAAGGTACACGCTTGATCTTCATTCATTTTTGTAACCTGATTTGCATTTATGTAAGCAAATATATGTAAATATTTTAGGGATGCTATTTCCCATATGAACATTATATTCATTTTTTTACATATGAAGCTTATTATACCTAGTTTTCATTCTTCTGGAGCATTATTTTAATGCTTTCTTAGATTTTGAGTCTAACTATACTCTACCATCGCTATTTAAATGTCACCTTAAATGGTTTATGATGCACTTGAAGCGCTTTGTTTCGTCCTTTCCGATAGCAGCAATCTCACTGACTCAACTATGGGCTCTTATCGGCCCCGATTGGAAGGATAGCATAGAGTAATATAGTAAACGTAAAGAGAGGACACAGGAGCCAATTCGCGGCCCAGATAGTGCGTTTCATACCCTCCGCTACGTGGCGCTTTTCTACAATTTGGTTAAAATTAATTAAAACTCTTTCTGTGAAAAGTATTTATTTTTTAAATGGCAATGCTTTAAAATTGTTTAAAGTACTTAAAACGACTAAATAGATTAAATCAAATACGTCACAAAAACCACGTGATGAATGGCGCCTGCCATGGCCTGCCTGCCTGCACGCCGTCGCCTCTGCATCATTCTGCATGGCCTCTGCTCGTCCCTGCGTCGTTCGTCCGTGCCGTGCGTGCCGTCCATCTGTGCTTTCTGCTGCATCATGTTCGGTCGACTTTGCATCAATCAAGGTGACGCATGACCGCCCGCGTGCTCGCATGCTCGGCGTAAATTCGTGGAGCCGATCGGTTCGAGCTTCTCGCGCTGTTTTTTCTGCCGGGCTGTCTGGCTGCACTTGAACGTGTGTGCATGTTGATTTTCGATGAGATTGTTTTAAAAAAAGAATTTAAGTTACGACCTTGCACACGACATTGACCATGGGTTTACAGATGACGGTGTTGAACGAACCTCTAACATTGCAGATAGACCCTTGGTTGTTATGCTGTCTGAAATTTCCAGGAGGTGCGTTTGCACACACTGTTGTGCACACTGCAACAACGTCTTCTGTTTAACGCAGTCTCCTCATTTCTCTCATTCGGGAGCTTAAAGGGGCGGTGCAATGATATTCAATTGGAATGTTTTTCACTTTTGACGAGCTTACTGGCACAAGAGGGACTCAAGGATACTCGCACGCAACGCCACTGACCAAGAAACTCCTCTGTTGCGCTGTAATTTCGAGGACAAAACCCAGTGTTTTTATTCAATCTCTCCTTCGAAAAACCTGATGACATAGCTGGACGGTAGCAGTACCGCCCAGTGACGATATTTGAATACGGCTCATAGATTGGACCCGAGCATGGCGTGGACACTCGATTTGGGCTCGTGATAATCGATAGCTCGAGAAACATTCGGGTAGTGTCCTGTGTCAAATCGCTGCAATGACGACAACAGCCGAACCATAACAATGTCTGGAACTCAGCGCGTGTCCTGTGCCTTGCCAACCCCAGCGCATGACTATGATCAACATTGGCGGCATATAATCGGCTCCAGATCACGGGGCCCCTTGTTCTGGGTGCGAGTTGAGGGAGTGAACTCTGCTCGTTTTTCTTTATTTTTTTTTTCTGCGACTTCGATTGCGTGTGGTGAAAACGAACGGGTATATTTTACAAATCATTAACGTCAGGGATTCGTTCTCAGCGGTATTTGCGCAAAAAACAAATATCAATGCATCGCCCCTTTAAGACTGTTGGCTTCACAGTAAAGGCTGTGGTCTGTGGTTAGGAGGCTTCAAACGTAAGCTTGGTGTGTGTGGTGATAAGCCATTTTTAGAGCGCAGCTCTTAGGGGCCCGTTCCCGGCTTGAGCGGCGTCGGCGTCGCCGTTGGCGTCGCCGTCGGCGTCGGCGTAAGCAAGGTCATCCCAAGGTCACTTGACTCCCAAGGTCACTCCAAGGTCACGTGACCCCCAGAGGTCACGTGACCCCTCCCCCAGGGTCACGTGACCCCCAAGGTCACGTGACACCCAAAGTCACGTGACCCCCCGGTCACGTGACACCCCCAGGTCACGTGACCACCCCCAGGGTCATGTGACCCCCGCCCCAGGGTCACGTGACCACCCCCAGGGTCATGTGACCCCAGGGTCACGTGACCCCCCGGTCACGTGACACCCCCAGGTCACGTGACCACCCCTAGGGTCATGTGACCCCCGCCGAGGTCACGTGACCTCCCCGATGACGTCATCGTCACTGATGACGTCACCGGCATCCGCATCGTCATCGTCATCATCACAGATGACGTCATCAGTGACGTCACTGATGACGTCACCGACATCCGCATCGTCATCGTCATCATCGCTGATGACGTCATCGGAGTCCGCATCGTCACTGATGACGTCATCAGTGACGTCACTGATGACATCATCGGCATCGTCACGTGACCACGTGACCCCCCCCCCCAGGTCACTTCACCCCCCCAGTACCCTTCCCTCCTCCTCAAGAGCTGCGCTCTAATTCGGTGTTACAGGGAGTTGTAAACGGCTTTCACTTTTTGAAGTTGACAACGAACACGTTTACTTTGTCTTTGATGTTCCGCACCTTCCCAAAACAACCAAGAGCAATCTCCAAGCCCACAAACTTTGCATTGGAAATGAGGTCATTGAGCGGTCTTCTATTGTTGAACTTCATTGTTCTATCCATGAGATTAGCTTGCAATTGACTCCGAAACTTACTGAGAGACACATTTATTCAAAAACCTTTCTGTAACATGGAAGAAAATAGTGCCGCACAGGTACTGAGTGCCCCAATCTTTCTTGTAATCATATCTCTTGTTTATGCAAAAGAACTTCCTGAGGCAGCCATGGCTACAGCCTATTTCTGTGATAGGATGTGCATACTTTTTGATTGTCTAAATAGCTAAAAAATTCAAGAAGGCAGGGCAGAAGTTGCGTCATGCCATTCTGAAGGGAGAATCTGAAATACTTGATTTTTTCCACCAGTAACTCGGATGGATTTCAGCATGGCAGTTCCAAAGTAGAAGGCAGCCATAAGCCATCATTGGGTGGCAAGCTACTATAAAAAGTGTCCTCATGCTCTGGGATGAGCTTTCAAGCAGCCATGACTTTAAGTTCTTACTTACACGACGCCTGCAGCAAGACACACTTGAGAACGTTTTTGGAGCTATATACGACAAATGCTGGGCTGCAACACAAACCCAAATGTGCATCAGTTCACCTCAGGACTAAAACGCCTCTGGATAAAGAAACTGTTCAAACTGTCGGACAATGAAAACGTAGAAGATTGCAAGGCTGACCTCCTAAAGGAGTTGCAAATATCTTCGCACCATGAAAGTTTAATTTCAGACATTGTGGAATGTCTTCCAATTGATAACTTCCCGCCACTAGAGGATATTTCTGAGCTGGCATCAGACATCGGGTCTAACATAATTGATGACTCGTCCACGTTTTTATTACGTTTGGGGCTATTTGATCAAGATTTTGCTTGAACAGACAACTTACAGCTGTGGCTGTTCTGAGCTGCTATCGGATGAGTCTAATAACTTGACCAGGCCTCACCAGTACTGTCTTGTTCCTAAAGCCTACCACGTGCCTGGAAAATTCTTCGGGAACTTATAGACCTTTTCTGTGTACTCTCGTCTCCAGCCACCTAATAGGCGTATCCGGTATGGGCGACGAAAAAATAATCCAACGTTTCTATCTGAAAATAGTAAAAAAATAAAGGGGAGTCAAAATGACAAAGTGTGGCGGTTACGCTTATATCCTAAATGCCTTCTATTGGCGTGGCAAAGGCAAAACAATGTTTTCGCCCATACTGGAAGTGACGTCAATTCAAGATGGCGGCACACTTGCGGAAAAGGTCTATAGTCGGTTACAAGTCAAGAAGGTAGGAGAAGCTCCTCCCACAAGCGTGATGCGCCCGTTTATAATCCCTCCGCAGTCGAAAGAAAAGTTCACTCGAAACGCTCCTTGTTCCGCTTCAATGGATTCCAACTTGTCTCCGATCCCACTTTTTAAGAAAGCGATCTTTGTATTCATCGGAGAAAGGACCGAGCCCCTAAAAAGCAGCCTTTGTATCCATCGGAGGGAAGCTAATCCCCGAAAGTCGTATTTGTTTCCATCAGAGGGGGAGAACTCTAATCTCCCTCTCGTGGCTTCCACAATGCTAACTCAAAGTCGAAAGATAAAGCAAATATGTACAGAAAGGCAAGACCCTCCTCGCGCGCTGGCCGCGACGTCACGGAAACGGTGGGACGCTATTGGATGCGGAGGTGGCGGAGGGATATCTGATTCCCTTTGAGGGGCATTTGCCGCTACCTTCTTAACCTGTAACTGACTATTAGCCCCGAGAAGTTCGCGTGGCGCCCCCTTGCGGCGAACCGGGGTGACGTCACGGCCAGGAGAGAATTTTTCCCCGACTCGCCCCGCTCGCCCTGTGGAGGCTGTGACGGCGCTAGCTGTCGGCGCGCTCGTTTCTATTTAATCTTTTTTTGGCGTATTTTTCGTAGGAAGTGTAAATTTTTATATGTGCCTTTAATGAGGTATATGACCTGTAGCTACAGGCGAAACTTCAACCAACATTTGAAGCATGGTTGAGAGG